ATGGGATGGGGCCAAGATCATGTATCTGGGTTCCTTTATGGTTTATTTTATATTATTAAAGTGGAAGAGATGGGAAGTTCCAGTACAGATTGGCTGTCTGTTGTTCTAAGCTCTGGACAAACACATGGGGGAAAAAAGAGATCCAGCTACACCAAATAAACACCATAAATTAAATTCCCTAAAGTCCCCTTAGAAAAGCTATTGTGAAAAAGTTTGAAAGGAGACAGTTATTAGAGGATGTGACAATATTCCACTGTTATTCCCTTTACAGGAAGGATGTGAACCTTAAGGAATTTACAGTGGACACAACAGATCTGACCCCACACAAAAGTGAAGACATCAGGCTGGGTATGTGTCAGCTGGCAACCCTGTGCCAAACCAGGTCAAAACTCCTTGTAGCTCAGGAGCTTCTAATGGCATTTGGATGCTCATTTTCAGGTGACTTAACCTCCTCCTCTTTAACCTCCTGAAAGTGAGTGTGGAAATGGGGATGAAAGGAAATCCAGGGTTAGCTGAGTTCATTCTGTCCATCTCCTGTTGAAGCCACTTTAGTTTAACTGTCAGATTCCATCCTCCCTGGGTGTCAAAAATTTAGTGAACATTTGGGCCCTCTGTCCAGATCTGTGAGAGCAATTAGGGCAAACAAACTTGGGGAAAATGGCAGGAAAAATATTTGCAAAGAGGGGAAGGAAGCTCATCTTACAGGTGATCATGTTGTAAACCAGGAAACAATTAAACAGTTGTCCCTATTTTTTTGTCTCTTTGCACCCCCAGAAAAGGTATAACCTTTAAAAGAACAAACTTTAGGGCCCAAGCTACAGGATTGCTGTGAAGGCCCCACTAAACAAGAGGTAGATACAAAACTGGAAGGAAAGAACAGAGGAATTGCAGAGGGTGGGTTGCAAAAATTCTTCTTTGTGTGTCCCAGGAGAGCAAATCCCCTGAATAACTGCATCAGTCACCTCAAAGGGAGCTCTGAGTGGATGATCCAGAGCTTTCTGTTATGTGCTGGGAGAATCTGTGGTACCTGTGAGGAGCAGGAACCCGAAATATCCATGATTAGTGCCAGGGGCAAAAATGAGGTGGCAGCAGCTTTCCTTTTGCTGCTGAGTGGCTGAGTAACTCCACTCCTAGAAATCTGAAGGCCTGGAGTACATCAAGGAAGGACTGATCTGTCTTGCCTGTAAAACTCTTGTTTTCTTTTAATATTCTAATGTCTGTCTGAACCACGCTCCTCCCTCGCACAGATTACAAAAACAACATCCTGAAGGAGAAGGCTGAGCAAGCCAGAAGCTTCCCAGCAAAGAACATTGATTTAGACAAAGGTAATAATGACTTGCTTTCCCCCTAATTGGTGGCTGTAGGAACCTTCTGCTGGGCAGCAGGAGGGAGCAACTCAGTCCATCAGTGAGCTGACCAAGCCACAGCCCAGGCAGGAATGATAAACACCCCGGCAAATGGCAGCAGGAATGAGGAGCCAGTTCCCTGCCCATCCTTTCATCGTGGAGCCACAAGATGCAAGTGGTGATTAGGACTTTTGAAAGCTTTTGGCGTGGCCCAAACCGAATTTTTCTTTATTGGAAAAAGAATGCCTGGCAGGGCTGGAATAGGGCCTGCTCTACTGTAACCTCAGAGGGAGATGGATCCCAAAAATGTCCTGGCAGTGCTGTCTGGGGAGAAAACACTGTGCTGAAGATAGTGTTTTGAGCTGAATTAATTTATGGGCAGTCACTCACTTCATCCAACAAAAGCAAACAGCTCTCCCTCCCTGGGGGCTGAATCTCCTTTTGCTTACCCAGTATTAATCCTGAGAGTTGTGCCTCAGTTTGTAGAGCAGCACTTATGTCAAGCAGTGCTTGTAATAAGCTGTTAGATTCCATGACTCATTTAAGAGGAATTTAGAATATAACAAATGGGACTGAAATGATATCGAGCAGGGAATGGTCTGGAGAGCCCAGGAGTTGCCTCAGACCTGCTGTCTCTGCTGGAGTTCTCAGGATACTTTTTCCCTGCATTCTTCAGAGGTGATCTGTGCAATAATTTATACACTGGGGGCTTTGTGAGGGGATATTTATATATATTTCTGAGGGGGGACTGGGGACAGGGCTGACTGCAAATGGTCACTTGTCACTGCATAGAGTAAGTCCATGTTTTTGTGCTCATTTGAAAGGTTTGAAATCCCTCTCCAGGTGCTGACCTCCGTTTCCATTTGCTTTCAGATTTCAGGAAGGAATATTGTAAATGAAGACATTCCCAAGCTGCTGGCTGGACCAGAAGCTTCAACCAAAGATAGAAAACATGGAAGAGAGATGATTTTTCTTAATACCATCTCCCTCCAGTTCCCATAGAGTTGTTTTTTTTTTTTTTTCCACATAGACTTGAGGGTGTTTGCAAATGCTTCTTGAAAGAGTTAGACTGTCTTGTGTGCATTTATGGGTTTGGGTTACCTTTTCTCCTCATCTCCCAGTCCTCCATTCCCCTCTTCTTTTCTTGATATTATTGTTGGTTTTATGCATCAATGATTTTTATGAGCTGAATCAGCAGACCTTTTGCTTTGATGTTATTGCTTTAAATAAACCAACCTGCATCACTGCTCCAGAGCCATCATTATATATCAGGCATTTTTCCATGTAGTGTATTCATCAGAATAATAATAGCAGAGCCTGATCTCCCGTGGGCTGGCATAAATCAGTGTCACACAGCACTTTACACATTCCAGGTGAAGCACAAAGAGCACAGCCCTCCCAAATGGCAATATAAATACCTCATTTTGTGAATGGGGAAATGTCAGGATCCCCATTTTGCAGGGGAAAGGGAGGCAGATAAATGACCACGAGTAGATTGGGTTCAGCTCCAAAGAGCTCTGGAAGCTGAACTCTGTATTTCTCACTCTGAGCTTGTTTGTTTTCATTTCAGTGCAGACCAAATCATATTTGGCAGGAGCAGACACTTGACTGATGGAGTTACAGTGCTGTAATACCAGTTAGATCAGAACCAGGAATGCTTTGGAGGGGGCTGAACTCCTGTGTGGAACCTGGGATGTGATTTTCCTGCAGTCCTTGGGTGGACCCAGGCCACGCAGAGCTCGTGTGCACATCAACCCACAGGTATGGTTCCAGCACAGGCAGGTTGGAAACGGGAGCAGCTCCTCAGGAGCAGCCCCTGAGGAACAAGAGCAACAGCACTGAAGAGCCTGTCAGGAATTCTGATGGGCCAGGGCCTCAGAAGGGCAGTCCAGGAGTGAGATTTACCCATTCTCATGGATTTTGGCGTTGTTTTGGTGAGTGGACACCTGAGGCAGTGGGGCTGTGGGCTGAAGGGGAGTTCTACATATGAACAGTGTGTCAGGTGGGGATGCCAAAAAATCAGGAGTAATTCGGTGGTGTGATCCAAGCAGGCTAAAGCACCGTGGAAGCTGTGGAATATTAACAGTTCTACGCAGCTCCTCTGACCACCTGGGGTGTTCTGGGGCACCATTCCCAAACCAGGCACTCCCATGGTCCTTGGGGCACAGAAGAAAAGGTTGTGAGCACGATGACAGTGAGCTGTGCAAGGGTGAAGGTGGCTGAGGGTTGCCAAGGGTGAAGGTGGCTGAGGGTTGCCAAGGGTGAAGGTGGCTGAGGGTTGCCAACCTACTCTGGAGAGAGTGGCAGAGGGAGGGGTTGTGTGTGGGCTTGGTGACTGGGTGGAACTGGGGGCAGGGTCTCCAGGACCCCTTTCTTTCTGCCCCTGCCAACTTGGGTGTCTTGTCTGACTGATGCCAGTGTTCTTAGACATTTAAATCTCATGCCAGACCCCTCTCCCTCCTCCCACGAGCACCTGGTGTGTGCCAGGGCTGGGGAGGACTCCCAGCAGGTCACAGGGATGCTGCACTGGGTGGGATGGTCCTGAAAAGCTGAGCTCAGCTGCCCAGCTCTGCCAAAAACGTGGTGGGTGAAGCCTCCTGTGTGCCAGAGGAGCTGTACTGTCTGTTCAGAAGGTTGGACACCACGACTTCAATGCACACTTTTTATAAGGGTAGAAAAGGGTCCATGTGCATTTTTTTAGATATCAGTACTTCTCTCTGTTAGTGGGGTCTATGTGAAAGAATAATTATAGTGAGGACCCTTATTTTTAATGCCTTCAAGTGGTAAATATTAATAATAGAATATAAGTGGAGGTGGAGTTCCTTATATTTTAGTTTTCTTAGCCCTTCCACTGCTCTCTGGACACCTTTTGGGATTTGCAATTAACTGCCTTTTTCTTCATTTAAGAATCACCTCTACAGAAGTGCTCAGGTTGGGCAGACCCATGACTCGTGGAGAGGAGGGTCTGGGCTTGGTCCCAGGCCCCTTTTTGCCTTCTTCTCCCCAAAACAGCCAGGGATTCTCAGCCTGCCTTAGGGCTGGGGCTGATTGAAACCCAGGCTGCATTCCTGCAGGTGCAGGAGGCTCTGCTGGTTATTCCATCAGGGTGGCAGAGTCTCAAGTAATTGTCATTAATGTCTCTCTCCCTCCCTTTCATGTCTGTGAGTCAAAGGCTGGAGATTTTCACTTGCCAGTTCCAATTGCTGAGCACAGCTCACAGAGACACCAGCTCAAAGTGGGGCTCCTCACAAGCTCCAGAGGCATTTAAATACTTCAGTGGACTTCTGGGCTGCAAAACAGCTTAAGGGGAGAAAAATTAATATGTTCTCTGTAACAAGGACTGGGAAGAGCTTTATGAGTTCCTCATCCTTGCTTTGATCACTAGTTGGAATTTGGGTAGTGGTCAGACACGTCAGCATAACCCTGGGCTGGTCAAATTGGGATTGTGGCCCTTTTTCCTTCAGGAGAGGCACACGCTGAGTGATTTGCCTGCTGATCACAGCAGTGGGCTTCAAAAAGCAGCTGCCACATCCAGTGTGTGTAATTTAGGGTGTTAAAATTCTGGCTGAAGGAGACCCAGGCAAGACTGCTGGACAACCAGTCCTGTTTTCAAGCTGTTGGAAAAAAGAGAAAAGGACAACTGGAACGGTAAACTGAAGAGTTCTGGCTGTTTATTTCTTGATGCAGAGGGATTATCAAAGGCTGTTTGCCCTTAAATAGTGGTGAGAAGCCACTTAGGTTTTTCACAGTGCACTTTGCAGTCTGTCAGTCTCTGGCACTGGGGGGGAGTTCCAGGTAGCTGATCTTGCATGTGAAAATTAAAAGGTTCAAGTTGCAGGACCACTGCTCTCTGTCCCTGCTCTGCCACAGACTCACTGCAGTGCCAGACAGGTTGGTTTTCTCTCCCTCTCTCTGTCTCTCATCTCAGCCTTTCTTTCCCTAATCTGGGGCTGTAACTTGCCTCTGGTGGAGAAACACTTTTTTAAAGTGTGTAGCACTTTGGTAAATGTGCTTTGCCCGAGTTATTGGAGATGATGTTCTCCCTGTACCAATTAAATTCTGCACCTTGACAGACTCCTTTGCCTGTCACTTTGCAGGCTTTGCCTCATCACAGCCTCCCTGGCTTCCTGAGACATGCATTCTGTGTTCAGTTAGTTAAAATAGTAATAATCCCTAATTTTTACAGCAGTTCCTCCTCAGTGAGGGCAGAGAAATCAAAGTCTCTTTTAGGATAATGTGTGGACTGTCAGCCCTTGGTGTGGGACAAGGAAAGGCTGTTTGGCAGAGACCTTGAAAGGGGTTAAAACTGAGACTAGAACTAGACCCTTTTCAGCTCTGTGCATACTCTGCTTCCTCTCCAGACTGAGAGAAGGACTTAGGCCATAAAGCTTGTGGTTGTTTGTTTTTTTTTTTAGTTTGTTGTAACTGAATTAATTTTCATTATTATTGTCACTTAACTTTTACCATTTGCCATTGCTGTGTAATTCCTAGTGTTTAAGAAATAAAGGAGAATTTAATGGAGTTTCCAGCTAAGGTTGGTTTTATTTCTTGCTCTTTGGAGATGCTACCTGAGCCATAAGCCAGCATTAGCTAATTCTTCCCAATAGCTCTGCAGTGTGTTTCATCTCAGAGTATCCTAAAGTGCTTTACAAAGTGCAGATTGGATTCAATAAGTTATTCCAGTGATTCCAATATCCTTTCCACGTGGGACATCATTATTTGACAGGGTCATGGGGCCCATGGAGAAATTGCAGCTCTCCAAAAGTGTTGTGTAACGGGCGGATCCGCAGCTGGAGATGGAGTTCAAACCATCCATCAGAGGGGAAGGCTGGCAGCTCTTCCACAGGATTTAATTTTGCAGGTCCAGAAGGGAAGATAACACATCCTGCTGGAATATGTTATTTCACTCCCAGCCCAGATTCCTCTTTGCTTGCAGAACTCACACCTTGTGAAGTTCCTGCTGCACATTCTGCTCTTGGAGGGTTTCCACCCCCTGAGCACTATCCCAGCTGGCACCAGAGTTCTTCCAGGGACACTGATGGAAACAGCTTGGATTGCTGCTTGGATGGACGGTGCAGGGGCAGGAATTTGAAGGATCAAAGCAGGATATGGAACTAAAAAGTGGCAAAAAAAAAAGTGCAAACTTTAGCAAGTGAAGATTATTGACCAGCTTGTCCAGCTCTGGTGAAAGTATCATCTGCTCTCTTCCCTGGCTGGAAATCCCACTCCATTCCATAGCACCTCTTCCCTGGGGTGAATCACCATCCTAAATACCCTCTCTGGTGCTGCTGTGGGGATTTACTGGTCTCTGCTGGGTTGTTGCTGGGGCATCTTGTCACTTTTCTCTTGTCTCCAGGCAACGGATCTGATTTTCCAGGAAAGCAGCTGGGAACAAGGAGGAGCTGATTTAGCACCCACAGGGCCTGCTTTGCAGACCACTGAAATTAAATATTGTCATTGTCTCCCACTTGTCTGAAATGAAGTCCAGATTGTCCCCATTTCCTTTCTGCCTCCCAGTCTGAGCAGAGTTTTACTTGTAAGCCATTAACAGAACAAATTTCTGAGGGGAAGAATAAACACTGGGGACCTGAGAGAAGCAGGATAAAGACCTGAATAGACATTTCTAAGCAAAAACCACTTCTTTTCTAGAGGTCTGTACGTGGCCCTCGGCAGATGAGCTGCTCTGAAGACAATTGCTGAAGGGACTCTTCCTTTTTTTAAAGGAAGTGTGACTCTTTTAAGTGCTGCAGCTGCTAAGAAGAGGTAGGAAACCCAGAGGAAAGAAAACAGTTTGGGTCCTGATCAACCCAATAAATTAACTGATGAGGTGCAGATCCCACAGAATTGTTTGAAAACCAACACGAAACTTGTCCTCAATCCTTCTTTTTTCCCCTCCCATGTGACCTGTAGGGCAATATCCCTCCTTAACACACATTCCTCAGCTAAGGGGGTTTTGGGAATGTCACTGCAAATACCTCCTGTCATTTCCCCCAGGGTTTTTTTTTTCAGTGTTTAAATCCAGTGGCAAGGGAAGCCCCCGGGGGAGCTTTGCCCAGGAGGCTCCAGAGCAGGAAGCTGCTCTCAAAGTCTTTTGCTTCCCTCTAGTGTTTAATGGTTTTATTTCCTTGTCAGCTTATTGTGACTGAGTCCTGCCTAAGGTCCACTGCACAGAGAGGAAGAATAAACGGGAAAAAAACAACTTGCAGATCTTTTGGACCAGATCCAGGAGTGTAAAGTGCCTTGGATTGCATCCCCCTGACATCTCCCACCCTGGCAGCAGCCTGCAGCCTCTTAGGCACATCCAAAATGTGTTCTTGCAGTGGTATTTTTCTGCTTCTCTTTCTGTTTCAGGATCATCTCTGTGTTTAGTTCATATTCTGCCCTGATGCTAATCTTGCCAACAGTCCTCCCAGTGAAAGGTGATTCTGTCCTTTAACAAATATAAATTCTTGCAGGTGGATGAAAAATACCCCTGAAATCTCTGAGTGGGTGCCCAGAGTGTTGGTTTCCCTTTTGTCACATCCCTTTACACAAACACTGATTTGCTGAGCACCCAGAGTGTGATGAGCTCTGAGAATTCCCTGAGACAAGCAACAACCATTGCTATAATTCAAAGGATGGCTTTTTAAATAGGCCTTGCTTGTTCCCTGTGTGGCAACCAAGTGCACTGCTGCACAAATGAAGAAAAGGGTGAGCAGCTTTTGTGCCTCAGGACACTCTCAGCTCCCTGCAGGAGCCAGCAAGACTATTTCCTCTATCACAGAGAGCACAGCACTATTAGCAAGGGATTTTGTGCCTCATATTTATTTTTTGCTGAAGTGTTAAGGCCTGAACTCTGCAAGAAACGAGATATTAGCCCTGATGGACCAGTGGTGTCTTCCTGCATTCCTATGTCCTCTCTTTAATTGGATTAGCTTGTGGTTTGACTGCAACATGAAAGTGGGTTATCTCCTCTCTTCTGTGCTTTATGGGGACACAGAAAGCTTTTTATGAGTCACAGATCCAGTCTTCTCGTGCCTGTTCCAAGGTAGTCATCTGACAATTATACAAGTCGTTATATTTTCAGTTGCCAAGAGTAAAAGCGAAGCTCAGAGAGCAAGAGCAGACTCTCTGCAGCCTCAGCCTTTGTGTGGGCACCACCTGGGCCTCTGAGCAACTCAGGAGCTCGTTAAGCACCAACTGAAGAGACCAAAGGGTTGGGTGTTAATATTTCGCCTGAGTTTCATTCTGCAAAATAAAGGTCAGTACCTCATAAAATACAGTTTGTACCAGAGTTACAGTCCTGCCAAAAGGGAGCCTTCCAGTCCTTGCCCAGAGTTTCTTGAGGGTGCTGGAATTCCTGGGTTGATGGAGCACTTTCTGCACCAAGGGTGCTCCTGGGTGCTTGCAGAGCCTTTAACTCGTGTGTGCACACACAGGACAGAAAGTCGAACACATATTTTTACAGAAATCTTCAGTGTCCTCAGAATTCCAAAATCAAAAAAAGTGAGAAACAACCAACCATCCTGAAAAGTTTTTTATGTACATAGAAACAACTCTTGAAAATTACTCTTTGAAATGCACTAAATTGGTCATTCCTGACTTAAACCAGCACCAAATCACTACTTACAGGGCGAGGACTAAGGCCATACCTTTACCTTGCTGTTTATCCTGTTTGATGATCACACAAGCAGTGATGAGTGGCAGGAACATCAGCTGGAGAACCTCAGTGGCTGTGATTTTGTAATTCCTTCACTAAACCAGAAATGGCAGCAGGCAGGTGATGATGTTTTGGTTCCTCAGTGTTGTTAAACCTTGTTGAGTTGTGGATTATCCAGTGCTGTTGGTAAAGAAGTTCCCAGTCAGGATCTGGGACCTGGCAATGATTAAACTCTCAGAAAATTGAAAATAATAAATAGCAATAATGTTAACAAACCTTCTGGCAGCCACTAACACAGTTGGCTCCTGTGTTTTGTGCTGGTAGAAAAATCACTCCAGTGCCACAGGTAATTCAGTCACTGAGCTGTGATTTACCCCTTCACAGAGAGCAGCTGAACACTGAGAAGTGAATGTCCCTGTCCTTTGAAAGGGCAGAAGAGAGAACACCTTTAGCTTGGGATTTACCTGAAGAAGGGCTTTTTTTTTAATGAACAAAAGATTCCTTGAGACCTAAGGTCTGAAATGTTTTTCTGGTTGCCATCTTTTGGGGGGTTCTAGAAATAAAGGTGAACTCTTCCCAAATCCATCACCTGCAAAGCAGGGCGCTGTGATTCTGTGATCCCTATCCCTGTCCCTTCCCCTTCTCCGTCCCCTTCCCTGTCCTGTCCCTTTCCCCATCCCATCCCCTTCTCATCCCCTTCCCCTCCCTCTCCTCCTTCCCTGTCCCATCCCTGTTCTCATCCCCATCCCCTTCCCTTCCCTC